TCCTCGATTGAAGTTGCTCCCGTGGTCATGACTTGCATGGTTGTACTGCCGCTCGAATCAGCGTCGGAGAGTAGGGACTCTGAGTATTTCCTTGGGCTCTCCCCTTTTGATGCCTTTAGCGAGGCTAGGGTGATCACAGGCTCGTACCTCAGGTGCTCTTGTTCCTTTGACAGAGTTAATGCAGGGGCGGAAGCCGCAGCAAAAAGATCTCTTGCCTTACTTCGGGTTATGATGCCAGAAATATCACCACTTGCGGCGATGATGTTCTTGTTCTTTGCTTTGATTGCAGGAACAGCTTGATCCTTTCTTGATGCCATTTGCGTTTTTCGATGATTTGAGGATAGAGATGAGAGGTAGAGATTGTCTCACTGGGCGTGCCAAATTTGTAAACACGAATAATTCCTGAAACAAGCGACAAGAATACGTGTACAAAATATATTTTTTTGTATTAAGGATTTTGGGGTTACAATCTCTTTGTAATTTGGTCCTCTGATTCTATCTTCGAAGGGTGTAGGTTTGTGGATGAATTGTTGATCCAAATGGCCGTCGGGGCCTGATCTAAGGATGAACAGTTGATGAATGATGAACACTTTCTTCAAGGGGCCGTCGGGGCTTGATCTTGAGTTGGTGGGAGTTCTTCAAGGGCCGTTGGGGCTTGATCTTGAAGGAGGATGGATGATGAACGATGAACACTTTCTTCAAGGGGCCGTCGGGGCTTGATCTTGAAGGTTGATAGATGAGCGGATCTTCAAGGGCTTCTGGGCTTAATCTTGAAGAACGATTGGGTGTGTGGATTTGTTGAGGTTGTTGATCCAAAGGGGCCGTTGGGGCTTGATCTTAGGATGAACAGATGATGAACGATGAACACTTTCTTCAAGGGCCGTCGGGGCTTGATCTTGAGTTGGTGGAAGTTCTTCAAGGGCCGTTGGGGCTTGATCTTGAAGGTTGATGGATGATGAACGATGAACGAAAAGTGCTTTCTTGATTCTTCGGGATTTGCTTGAGAGCTTTAGAGTTTCAAGGCTTCTTTCTTTCTTCCTTCCTTCCAAAATGAATGTCTTGGCCTCCTATTTATAGAATTCCAAAACTTGATTTTTGGATTTAAATAATCAGATGAAATAAATCATTTCTGCCAGGTATTGACACGTGTCCTATTTGATGACTTTTCCAATTTATTTCGATTTTTCGTTGAGTCACACGCTACATGTAAAATTTATGTGATATGTGAGCGTTGAAATTTTAATTTTTGGTCAACATTTATTTCACCGAAATTTTGATGTCTACACCCTCACTTTCATAGTGTGTATAGGTTGCTTAGCAGATGTGCCATAAAAAGAACACTCGCTAAGCTCCATTTGGTTAAGGGATTGTTAAAGGTCGTCGGATGGGGTATCTACCTCATTTTCAGGTTGTACATGGTCAATCATAAGTAACTGTTTGGTATGGAATTTGTGCCCCCGAGTCCACTTATCATCACAAAACCATGAATCCCAACTTTCATGTTTTTTTTTTCTGAATTTCCTCAAGGGAAAGCCTCTTAATAGGGAAATATGGTGCCCAAGGCGGTGGTGGTGGAGGAGTAAGGGTAGTTAGGATCGAAATATGGGAGTAGGTTTTGTATAACAAGATTTCAAAACAACAAATTTAGCATTAATTTGACCAGTTAAGGCAATAGCATTATGCACAGTGTTAAGGCGCAATAACTTGACATCATACATGAGTTCACACTTAAGGCCACCAATAAAACAACTCTTAAGCAGAATGAAGTCCCAAGTATGCTCTGATATCAATCTGACACATTCCAAATCCGATGTCTGAGGGACATCGAGATGGCCACGTGCTGACCGATACTCGAGGGTGACGCAAACCATTTAATGTATGCAAATGCCGAGAACATGTGAAGCATGTATATAAATTTCGCGTGTGACTACGCGAAGTAATACTCAAATATAAGTCTTACAAAATACCATAAAAATATTCACTTGCCAACAGTGAATCTAATGATAATGCATGCCATATTCAAAGCATACAACTAATCCAGATTACAAGCAAAAGATAAAATAGAGAGGTCATCTTACAATAGATGTCAAAGCAGAAAGGATGATTTGATATCACTAGTAGGGGAATGTCTCGTAGCGCGAATCGTAAGCTTTGTTCCTATGTCCTGAGGAGGAAAAAAATAGTGGATAAAAAAGTCAATGGATTCCTCTCCCGTACCAACTAACTATTTAACCTATTAATGCTATCGTTCGTCACAAGTATAAAATAAATAGAAAAGACATTAACAAGCAAGTGCAGAAGAAAAAGGAGTGTGTGAAATGCTTACCTTAGAATTACCGTTGAAAGAAGCTCCCTTTCTCGTTTCTATTAAGAAGAAAAATGAGTATATAGCCTCCATGTGGTATGCAGAATTGAATTAGAATGAATAAATAACTATTTTCAAAATATATTGGAAGAATTTGACCATAAAAATAAAGTATATTGAAAGAAGAAATGAAAAAAAATTGGTTGGCAGTAGAAAATGAATTACACAAGAATAAAAGTTATCACTTCCAATTTTTTCCGAAATGCGACGATTAGAAGGAAGAATTTCTTTATGTCTTGTCCTCTTCTAATCCTCTTAAAATTCAATCTTCTATGTCAAAGGAGCTCTAAGATTATGCCAAATTACTCCTTGTACTTATATGTCACTCCTAATTTCCATCCTAAACAAAATCAATTTAAATGGTTCACCAATTGTTCACGCGGTAAAAAATAAACGGAATAATACATGAAAATTTTGAACCGTGAAAATAAAAGTGACTAAATAAAAAACATTTAAGGGAGGTACTTAACTAAAATAGAATTTAAATGTAAAAATTGACAAATCCAATTTTCTTTTTTCATTTCATTATTTTCTTTCTAATTTTTATTTAAAGAAGAAAAGAAAAGCCCTAAACCCTCTGTCTCTCTAGCACTCGTCTTCGCTTGCAGCGGACCAGAAACCCAGCAAGCATTTCTAGTTTCTACGAAGACATCAAAGTCAGAACCTCACTCCTCCGCTCTCAGCCCTCCCTCAGGTACCTTCTACAGTTCTACCATCTCCCACCTTCCATTGCTTTTGTTTAATCTGCTCATGATTAGTGCGATTTATTTAATTAATTAGCTTCTGAAAAGTTTCTGTGTAAGATGAAAAGGGTTCCTTTATCCTAACCCAAAATCTTGAATTGGGTCTACATCTTTGAAATAGCTTGAAATCTCATAGCTTTCTGAAAATTTCCCTCTGAAACCAAAACTTTTCATGAATCAAAATCAAATTGCTAGTCTTGCTTTCCTTTGGCCCTGTGGGAATGGAAAGATCTCAAAATGTCTGTCGAATTTTCGGTTTGACCGATACAGGACATGGCGGGCGGGACAGAGAGTTAGGAGGTTGAACTAAATTGCTTCCATGCCCCAACATGAAATAAAAAATATGGTGAAAGATGAATCGATATTTGATACGTGTCTTATTCGCAAGAATGCATCATAATGTTGCAGACATTTATGTCCTTGATTTTCCCATAGAATTAGTATATAAGGTAGATTGTTGAATACGTGAAGTGACTAGGTCTTGGCATAAACTAAGGTATGTTATTAGTGTTTTTCAAGATTTAGTATACTCTGATTGTATGGACAATGAGGTATGAAGCAACTTCAAAGTATGCATACGTCTCGAAGATAATTCTGACTCGTGATATTGTCTTCAACATGGAATAAAAGCACTGTTAATCAAGATTTAAATTTTTGAGTTCATTGTCCGGAGATAAATTCTTGGTTTCACCATTGTTTGCTTGGCTCTTGTTGAACTGGTATTGCTCCCGTCTCCTGAGCTTATTTCTTTGTTAATTTTTCATGTTTTAAGCATATTTGCTGGTTGGTTTTGGTTTATTTTATTGTGATAAAAGGTGAAGAAGATGCCATTGGGACTAATACTAGGGTTAGGAAGGGCATTTCGTCGAAAGCGAACATCATCACTTGACATTCTTTCCTCCAAACGTGCCCCTAGGGATTACTACAAGGGGAAGAATTGCAAGCCTACTGGTTTCCACACCCGGAAAGGTTTTCCCCTTTTGCTTTTTTGCAAATTTGACGATGTGCTCATTCAATTTTTAAGGTAAAAATTACTACTTGACATGTTTTTAAAATTGTCTAAATTTTTTCAGCTAAGTATGTCGTGCAGCAGGAGAAATTGCCTAACTATGTAGTCCCAGATTTAACCGACTTCAAGGTGAACATGTTTCTGTTTCTCTTACTTTGTTTCATTTTTTTCTCATTCTTTGGTAATATTCATCTTTAAGTTAGAGCTTCCGGTTGGAAGTTCACTGATACACTTTGCAGCTTCGTTGACACACTTCAACTATGCTATTTTAATAAATACATTCGACCTATAAGTGTACAATTTACTCCTCACTCTGATAAGTGCATACATGTAGTTCTAAATTACATTTTTCCGTTCTTGCATGCAGCTCAAACCATATGTATCTCAGTGCCCCAGAGAGGTCAAGACTACTCGGTCTGCTGAACCAACTAAATGAGCAAACCGAGTTGCTAGTGCTTGATCTTTACGTTTATTGTTCTAATTGTGAATTAAGTCGTTCCTGTTGATATATTTTCTAGTAGGGATCGATGTTGGACTGCGAAGAGGTTATACTCTTGTTTGGCATTGGCAGATTCATGCCATGGACGTGTTAAAAAGTAATAAACCTTTCTAGCATTGCCTTATATTGACTCAGCTAAAAGCTCACCGGACTAAGTTTCCATCACGAAGCCTGTGGTGACGGATTGACGTCAGAGGGTTAGCTGATTCATCTGTCACCATTTTGCTTCACATTAGACATGAGCCGACTCTAGCACAGGCCAGCGACTCATCGTGATAATCTCAGGCACTGATGTGCAGCTGATGTTACATTACATTAGCTCGTCTCATACAAACCTTTCCAAAGAACGACATACCAGAACAGGTACCGAAAGAAATTTGCATATAGGAACAAATAAAACATTTATTCGGAAAGAAGCTAATATCCGGTATCCTGCTAAGCCAACTTGAAAAAATTAGGTCGCCGGCAGAGAAGCTGTGACATTCACAGCTGTTTTCTTTTTTGATACAAATAGCAGAGTACACAGAAGAGCTGATAACGCAATTGCCCAACCAGAAAGCCTATCCCCTACAAAGTACTAATGCAAAACCTTTCACCTACTACATGTACTAAAACAAAGGCATAATCGTTCCGACTTCAAACCGGTATAAAATTTGCAAAAACTTGCGCTCTCATTGCAACCACGAAAATTTGGCTCGGTAGTGCAAAGAAAAGGGGAAGAAATATCTGTAAAGCATAAGGAATCATCCCGTCCAGAACCTGAGAAGGCCGAGTTATACCTTCATCAGTGTCGAACCATTGTGGGTGACAAGAGCCATCTCTTAACTCAAATATTCACCCAGACAAACAGAGAAACTCCTAACAACCACACCACTGAGTTTTTACTTCTTCCGGGGCCTGTTGTGTTTAACTTTAATTATTCTTCGGTGAGACTTGTCACCATCACCACCACTGGAGCCAACTGAGAAGCTTCCCCCTAACCCCTGATTCGCACCCAAACTACCAGAAGCCTGAAATGGGTTAGGGTTCTGTGGGTTGGTTTGGTTCTGTTGGCCTGCAAATTGGAAGGGACTTGCTGCTGGGGCTGTGGATGTACCTCCGAATACAGAGGCAGATTGTGAGTTTAAAATCGGCTGTTGACCAAACTGGAAATGTTGACCAAAACCTGGGGCTGTAGGTGTCGATGCCTGGTTAGTGTCTTCGGCCATACTGTCTTCCATATTCATTTGATCATTATTACCTGGGGAACCAAATGGAGATACAGGATTGGGGTTGCCAAATGGAGGCTGTGACGGGGCACTAGTAGGTGCGGTTGAAGTGAATGAGAACATGGAAGTTAAGGATGCACCATTGGATGACTGAAACAAAGATCCACTGTTGTTATTTGTAGAAGAAACCGTGGATCCTCCAAAAGTAATAGGCGCATTGATAGTAGTAGCAGCTGCAGACGAGGATCCTCCAAATACAGAAGGCACATTGATAGTAGTAGCAGCGGCAGACGAGGATCCTCCAAATACAGAAGGCACATTGTTAGTAGTAGCAGGGGCAGACGAGGATCCTCCAAATACAGAAGGCACATTGTTAGTAGTAGCAGCGGCAGTCGAGGATCCTCCAAATACAAAGGGCACACTGTTAGTGCTAGTAGTAGCAGCAATGGAGGATCCTCCAGATACAATAGGCGCACTGTTAGTAGCAGGAGCAACGGAGGATGCTACATAAGAAAGCCCACTTGACGAAGATGTAGAGTTGAAAGCAGTAGCAAATACAGGAGGTTTACCAGGTTGCCAACTGGCAGCAAATATGTTAGGGGCAGTGCTAGAGCTAATGGAGCTGGGCTCCAATGAGGAAGTAGAAGAACCAAGTGCAGTACCAGTTCCTGAACCAGGAAGTTTGGCAGTAGACGTTGGGCCAAAAATAGAACTTCCAATAGAGAAAGGTGTACTTCCCGCAAAGCTGTGTGACAGTGAGGATGCTGACGAACCAGGTTCAGTGGATGAATTCTGTGCAACAGATGCAATTCCGGTTCCAGTAGATGATGCCTGGGCAATAGAAGCAGATCCACTGCCAGTACCAAAAAGAGAGAACTGGAACTGGTTAGCAGCACCTGGAATGGCAGCAGATGTGCCAGCAAACGAAGTGCTGCTAAGATTACCAAGGCCTTTGTCTTGTGTGTTGTTGCCTCCAAATGTTTCCTTTTTCTTGCCTTCAAAAGATTCCAAAGGCGAATTTAGTGGAACTGACGTGACTGCAGTTGAAGCAGTAGGCAATTCAAATTTGACCGTAGGCGTGGTTGAAAATGAAGGTGCTTGAGCCAAGCTAAAACCGTTGCTACTGTTGGTGGTGACAGCAGTTGCAGCGATAACACTGTTTGTGTTGGCAGTGAGAGTCAGGCCACCCGATGAATTTGGACTTGTCAAATTACTGAATACTGAAGGAGCGGAGGAAGTGAATAGAGGTCTTGACCCATTATTCATATTTGAATTACTGGAAGGGGTGCCAAAGGAGACTATGCCTGTGGTTGATGGTGCAGATGGAGATGATACAGTAGTTTTAGGTATAACAAAAGAGTCTCCAGCATTTGAATTACTCTTACCAACAGCTTCACCTGGTCTTTGTGGTTGGACAACAGTTGTTGCACCAGATTCAGCAGCATGTACACTGCAGATGGAAACATAGACAAATAGATAAATTAAATAATAAACTTTTTGGCAATACATATAAAAATCAGAAAGTCACCCATACATGAATAGGGTTTCCACATGATACCACTGATTAAATATTTTTTTTTAGAAAAATACTACTTTAAGAAAACAAGAAAACAAGCTATTTTTTCGTTGTTTGTTGAATAGTTGTATCAATTACAACACAACACAGAAGCAACCCCTCAATCCCATTTCCAAACCTATCCACCCGCTCATTAATAATGATCAATCTGGTTGGGGACAAAAGTAAGAACTATGAAAGCTAACTGCCTTCACCACCAGCAAAGAAGGTTAAAGTTCTGAAAATACAGTCAATTACAATGGACAGTAGAATAATTCCTCACTGCCACACTTCAGTGAGCACTTTTAACAAACATTTACATGCAGTGTGCCTACACTGCATTAAGTTATACCACCCTCAAGGTCTTTGGATATACAAATATTCGGACCAAATGAAAGGCAATAAAGCAGTTTCATTCCATTTGTCCCTTCCGAAACTTGGTTTTTCTATACACTTAAATCTCCACCTATTTTTTTATGAAAGAAAACAATAAGAAAAATAAATAAATGCAACAGTCAAGAACCTCAACGATGCTTTTCATCAAAACATAAAGATTAAAATGAAACAAGCGATTTAATACACTGACCTGCTTGAGGTTTCAGGATTGGAGTGTGACAAAGTTACGTTAACAGATTCACCAACTGCAGGTGACGAAGTAAAAGCAGACTCGGGCAGTGCAACTTTGTCAACACTCTTAGAGCCAACAAACTCAAACAGAGAAGTAGCTGCATCTGAACCCTTAACTGAAGTAACATTACCCCCATAGTTAAAAGTGGGAAGACCAGCATGTGATTCTTTTGGGAGATCAACTATATCATATGTAAAGGATGGCTGAGTAGCTGCAACATTGGGCAAGCTGGATGAAGATACAAAAGGGGAAGCTGAAGTCTTCACGTCAGAGTAAACTGGAGTATTCTTGGTCGAAGTTGCCTCCGCCTTTCCTCTTGAATCGGATACAACCCCATTATAATCATCGTCATCATCCAGATCCAGAAAATCCTGCATACCATACGCAAAATGTTCAAATTAATTATTTTGAAGTCATATGAATATGCACAGAAAACCAAATATAATAATGAACATTAATGATTTTAATTTTCCTAAAATTTCAGATAATATCAAATCTAGAAAGAATTTGAATTGAAACTAATGGAATCAAAATTGAATTTGTAATTGAAATTTTAAATAAATTATTATTTAAATTTGTATTTATGTCTGTTATCAACATATGATAGGGTTTAAATACCATAAAATTATGACACCGGTTTAATCAATTTGATCATTGGCACTGAAGACCAAGACAGTCAAACGCTTATTATAAATGTTCATGAACTTCTAGCAAAACTAAACAGCTGGATAATCTTATGATTTCAAAGGTACAGCCCCTCAGTAGTAAATTTTACGATCAAATTGAAACCCAAACTAGTTATTTCAGGTCAAATTCCAGAGTAGTAGAAAGAATAAGCAAGATAATCAAGAACTTAGTTAGCAGAAATAATAGAGAGAAAAAAGCGCAACTAGACCTCATGTGCGCTCATCTTGAATGCCCGTTTCTTTTGTGGAGGATGAACAGAGTTTGATGCGGCAGATACTGTAGTTTTAACATTTTGCAAAATATCCTTCTTTTCTGTTGCAGAATCTGCTCCATTTAGTATAGTTGAACTGTCAGAAAGAGCACCAATCGTAAGTGGGCCATTTTCTCTAACCTTATCCTTCTTTTGAGAGGTGAAGTCTCGAGCATCTGGTATCACGTGATAAGCGGAAACATCCAACTTAGAATTACAATTATTATTATTATTATCATTATTAAGTGCATTGTCCAAAAATTTTGATGAATCCACATGATCCAGGCTTTTCAGAGCCTGACCGTGTAGCATTGATGGTGAAAGCTTAGTTGGCGATTTGTCTCTCACAATATGTAGAATGGACTCAGATGATTTCTCTTTTGGAGAGACCAACTTATCAAGTTGCTCAAGTATTTTGGAAGCCATTTCACTGGACTTTGAGGGAACAGTAGAGAAACTTGTACTAGGACCTGCATTGTCTCCATTTTCTGATAATGCTTTGTGCTTAGGTTCACCCAATGATAGTGGCTTCCACAAGTTTTGAGCAGACTCAGAACTTATTGTGGCCCCAAGAATTGTAGTGCTTGATACTGGTGAGCTCAAGCCTTTAGAAGAAAGAAGATTAGGTTTTTGACGAATTCTGCGAATAGGACCAACAGATCCTATGTCACTGTCTAGGACTGAAAATCTGCGCTTCAAGGCCTACAAATAAAAACAAACAATTCCAATGACATGAATCTGGAGGTTCTAATCACAAATAAAAAGTAGCATTTGATAATCATCAGATATCATACCCCTTGTTTAGATCCAGAAGGCTGGCTGTGCTCCCATACAGACTGAGATGATGATGCACCACCATAAGCATTAAATGTAGACCCAGCACCCTGAATACAAGCAAATACAACATAAGAGCCGGAAACGGTAAACATATGTATTTTTGTTAAAAGAAATGCTTGTATTAAGATCAAGAAACCAACAAAGAGGCTGGTCAAGAAGACCAACCCAGAACACAGCAAACAAACAAAAATTGGAAAATGAAGACATAGAAAACACCCAGCACAATCAGCTGAGAAAACACCTAAAAGACTTTAAGAGGATAGCTGCTTTCTGGTCTTGCATAAGCACAAAGAGAAAGATTCCCTGAACTATGAGGAAAAGGACAGAGAGGGAGAGAGATTCTTTTTTTTCTTTTTCTTTTTATGGTATACAAAGATCCTTCTATTTCTCTCCATCCAAATGACCCAAATTGCTGCATGGAACATACAACCCACATGACCTTGGCTTCTTATCCTTCCAAAGCAAAGCATGACATTCATCAAGAGAAAGAATTTTTGGGATTACACAAGTAAATATAAGTAAACATTCAAAACGTGAAGGGGATCTGCATTGTCTTTTCTTCTACCAAAAAATCCCCAAACCTGCTTTGGGGAATCAGATGTGAAATTGGGGTCTTTGGGAGGCAGGAAACTCTAGCAAATGGCTATAGGTACCTTGAACAATTTAATCTTACCCCACGTTGGAACAAACCAAAGGCCTAATCACTCAACTAAACCAATATTATTGAAAACTATATTCTCAGATCAAACAAACCTTGAAAGTACTCGTCGTGTGAACTCGAGAGTATGGCGTTCGAGCCATGCTGTATATAGCAGACCTACCTCGAGATCTAGGGGTCACAAAACCATTTTGTGGAGCCCACTCACTGCCAGAATTCCTTGGCACAAGTGACATCATTGGCGATTTTGAAGGAAATGGTACACTGCTCAAAATAGGTGAATCTTCATGGTGTGTTTGACTACACAAACCTAACATTGATGGAGATACTTTTGAAGGCCTACTGCCCATGTAAGCTTTTGCGAGCTCTGCAGGAGAAGCAACATCTTCATCAAGGACCTGAAGACATTTTAACCACTAAATGTGAAAAAAGAGTTAAAAGTAAATATGACATCCAAACTACCGTTTCACAAATAGTTAAAATTAAAGAGTAGCAAGCACAAGACCGCAGCCTTCACAACCCAATGAGTCAAAGTATATGAATGGAAAGTAAGTTATCATACACTTGTACTAACAACAGGGTTTGAAGCAAGGCGGCTATCAATCCCATTTTTGTCCAGCAATGGAGTTTTAGGAAATTCCTCCTTTCTGTCATGAGGAGCCGCCGATTTTGAAGGTATTCCTTCAGACCTTATCTCAAGATTCTCAATTGGCATGTCAACAGTTCTTGAATGCAACAGCTCTGTCAATCGATCAATTTCAGATCTGTAGAGGTAATTAACATTCAACACCAAGATAAGCACATGTTACAAAAAAAAAAAAAGTTCTAAGCCCCAGAAGTGCCATGGGTGAAATCATAAATGCACAAGTCTTACACCAAACCCATTCATCAATTCCATTCAAATCACACAGACACTCCCCCTCTCTCTCTAAAACATCATTCCCGTTCATCAATACTACTTGGTTGTAATAACACTAAGTATATAACAACTTGACTCGACCAAAATTGAATTATGTATATAGCAACTTGCCTGGTAAAGGTTTTCTGCTCTAAAATTTGCTCAAGATCAGTGAGCTTGCCTCCGTCATCAGTAGTACTTGGATGACTTGGATCAGAACATTGATCAATTCTGCCTCTTAGCACTCCAGAAAGATCCTTTACAGCATACATTTACATACAAGATATTGTCAAAATATGATATCAAAACCATAAAAATAAAATGATTAAAAATCTATGAAATGAATTTAACTGAAAATTGTTCTACTTGAAAATATATAATAACATCCCACCATAACTCAATCAAATTGAGCAAGTAAAAAACGTGGATGTATGAAACATGGACTACTACTCTTATACCAAAGAGTAAAAATGTGAATAAATGGTTTATTAAGGATACCAAGTTTATAAGGGCTATTAGTAGTTCCTTAATAATGTCCTCTAACCTAACTTTGGTAGTGTATAAAGCCAAGAAGTGCACTTGCAGGAAACTTGAGATATCCCCTTAACCCTAAAAATTATTCTAAAACGCACTCAACATAGAGGAAAATCAGGGTACCAAATATTTCCCATTTACCTAAATTTCGAGTCTAAACAATGGGAGGGAAAAAAAAAAGTTCACTATGCTTGTAAGTTATAATACTCAAACACGGACAAAGAAAGATCCAAGTGTCATATACTGCTTAAAAATCATAGCTCCAAAAAGAAACGATGCAATCTCATCTAAAAACAGGACGTTTAATAAAACAATTAGAATATAGCTTACTCCCAATCACTAAGGGCAATGCCCTATCAGTGAAAAAAATACAATTATCCAACACACTTAAACTTACCATTGTAACTTCTTCTTTCTCCTTCATATTTGCTTCATGATTTACCCCTGATAAAGTAATAGAACATTAAATTTGTGAGTAGTTGGTAAAGAAACCAATAAAACAGTCACAGTCTTGAGCTCGGATGAGAAAGCAGATACGAAAGTTTTTTATTTTTTCGAAAAGGGCTAAGAAGAAATTTCACAATGGCTAATCATCATTTTTTTTCTTTTATAAAAAATGAGGACATCTATAACAAGTACAAGGAATACAAGATAACATGGACATAGATGCAACAACTGTGAGAGTAAATTAGTTTAACAATTCCCTTGCATTCAAGAAACAAAGGAGCCACCAACCAACTGAAGTGTAAAGTCCATTGACCACTGAAAAGGGTGCATTCTTTGAAGAAAAAGATACGAATGATTTTTTTTTTTTAAATTTGAAAAATTAATAAGGATGATACAGTACACAAATAAAGTGAAACAGTAATTAAGAAAAAGATCATCAGGGGATTTCAGAAAAGATATCAGAGACTGTATCAATGCAAAAGATGACCTACTATCAATCAAGCTCACTCTTACAAGTACTTCTTAATCCTACCAATTTACAAGCTAAAACACAAAAACTAAACCAGAAGTGAATACAAGGGGGAGCAAGGAATCTCTGTCTTCCTCCTACCAAAAATAAAGGATCCAAATGTCTTCCTAATAGTGTAACTGTGCATGTATTATTTGGAATTCAGAAGACCAACTTGAATTTTGGATTCCTTCGATTGCAATTTCAAACATCTTTCATTAAACATGAATGAATTTCCAGTTTTTTCTTAAAGCACCACAATTATTGTAATAAAAACAATGAATTCGAAATCTTTATAAACCTAGCTCCAAATCAATAAAAAATTTCAAGGAAATTAACCTCATTTCATTCCGCAGAACAAAAACTGACCCCAAACTCAACCCCCACAAACTGACCCATATGATAAATTCCTAAAAACAATGAAATAAAATAAGGAAAAACATAACAAAAGGCGTCCCAAGTAACGAAACGTCGAAACCCCAACTCCCCATTAAATGATTAAACCCAAACAAAATGCCCGCAAAACTAAGAAACCCCTGGAATAGTAAACAAAGGTAGTCAGGAAAGCAGCAAAGCCGAACCTGTCGAAGGCGACAGAGGCGGAGGAAGGCGTTTCCGAAAGACGGAGGAGAAAAGGCGGTGGGCGCTGTTAGAGATAAGACGGTGAGCCGGATCGACGAGTTTCGAGAGCCAGCCATCGTTGGCGGCGCTAGGGTTTCGTAAAGTCGTTGGTGGCCGATCGTAAGGTGTCGCTTGGGTAGTCCGTCGAAACGGCGTCTTCCGGAACTTTCCACCAGCACCCAATCCTTCGAATGCCTGCTTCTGCTTCTCTTCCCGCGCGGGCGACGCCATGAGAGAGAGGAGAGAGAAAGAGCACTAGGGTTCAAAATTTTGTGGGGGGTTAGAGAGAGAAAGGGATGGGATAGCAAAGTAGGGTTTTTAATTGCACCGCCCAAGAGTGTGGAAATGAAAGGGGTCAATTTGATATTTAGCAAAATACGTTGGGGACACGGAGAGAAGTGACAGAAATATTGGGAATGAGAATTTTTTTTTTTTTTTTATTGGAATTTTTTTTTTCGACCAGATGGAACGGTAAATTTTATTTACTTATATTCTTTTAACAAGGAACATAAATTATTTGACTGTATTATTCGAGAAGTAAATTCATATTAAATACCAAATTGAATATAAATTTTAGGAAGTTTTAATGAAAAGGACATAACTAAACTTTTCTTAACAAAAAAAAATTACCTAATAATTTTATTTAATGAAAAAGACTTAAAATTAATGAGAAACAACAACAACTAAGTCTTATCTTACTAAGCATCATTGCACTAGATTTTACACCAAATCTTCCTTTAGTTTTAATGTAACATCCCACATTGACTAACAGAGAGGGGGTGATGTGTTTTATATGTACATACCCACCTCCATATAGCACGAGGTCTTTTGGAAACTCACTAACTTCGAATTTCATTGAAACTCCAAAGTTAAGTAATTTTGGACGAGAGCAATCCCAGGATGGATGACCCACTAGGAAGTTCTCGTCTAAGTTCCCAGAATCAAAATTATGAAGACGTTGCCGAGGCCCAAAGCAGATAATATCGTGTTACGACAGAGCTGAGTATGAGATGTGACATTCAAGTCCTTCATCTATTTAGTTATTAATATTTAATGAAATAACTTGAAATTTGATGAAAATGACAAAATTTTAATATAATAAGAATAAAAATATCATACTTCTCTCCTCCTTCACCTATCACTATCATCTCATCTCTCTTCTTTTCACCCATCGCCATCATCTCTCTCTTCTCTCCTTCTTATGTCCCTCCTTCCTCTTTTTTCTTTTTTATATTTTGTGATTTATAAAATTTACAAATTAGTCATATTTTTCAAGGCATAATACGATAAAATTTTATCACATGCCAAAATTCAACAAAACTATTATCTTAATACAAAACAAAACACTTAAATAGATTTTATTAATAAGAAATATTGTTTCATAAACATTATATTTTCTATAAACAATGATCACTATTTTATAGAAAACAGTGTCATTATTTTTAAAAACAATTGTAGATGGTGACAGTATTTCTAAAAACGACCACACAATTCTTAGAAAATAGTCACCATTTCTAGATAGTGACAATATTTTTAGAAATGAAGACATTATTTCTAGAAATTGTCAATATTTTTAGAAACAGTGGTCACAATTTCTAGATAGTGGCACTATTTCTAGAAGTGGTGGCACTGTTTTAGAAAAATAACTTACGAAATTATACTATTTTAAAAACGTTAACAACCAGTTAAGTGTTCTTCATGGTTAAAATGTCTCATTATTTTTTTATGAAGCTTGTGACCCTAAATGAGGGCTGGTAGCTTTATATGTGTATACTATTTTAAATTTGTAAGTGACATATTTAATTGTATTGCAGTCATTGTTTTAGAGAATATAGAGTAGAGTTTAAAGTGTGGACCTCAAGGTTTATTGATGGAGGCGCTTTTTGTAATAAGATAGAGCTTTTTTGTAAGAAGAACAAAAAGGGCCAAAGAGAGGGGAAAGAGAGAGGACTGTGGGGTTTTCTTGTAAAAATGACTAATAATTTGGAAAAAAAATGGTACAGGAAAGAGAGACATGTGGGGTCCGTAACCTTTTTGTAAGATTAAGACAACAAATTGCGAAAACAAAAGTTCATAAACAATGAGGGATAATGCAAGGAATATTAAATTTGGAGATAAAATTTTATAAATTAAATGATATAAAAATTAGTAATTTAATTATTATTTAAGTATTGATTAACGTGTTTATCTTTATTGATAACACATTATTTAATTTGCAAATTTAATTTATTTAGCATTATCCAAAAAACGTACGTAAAAGTAGTTATAAAGTGGGGCCGAGTTGGCGTGTGCCTCGCACTTGCCCTTGGTTTGTTTTTCTTTTATTTCTCTTGTTCTTAACATTAAATAAAGTTATTAAGTTGTTTTTTGTTAAGTTTGAAGTTTTCATTATTTTTTTTTTTTAAGTTTAGAAGTTTTAATGAAAAGGGTTTCTGTCACATCCCGGCCCAGGCCCCACCACATCCCAGAATTGACTCCACTGTAGCACGATCTCGACGTCTTCGTCGACACACATCCGCCCAGGGATTGACTCTGATACCAAATTGTCTTATCCCGGCCCAGGCCCCGACCACATCCTGGGCTCAACTCCACTGTAGCACAATATTGTCCACTTTGGGCCCCGACCACGTCCACACGGTTTTGTTTCTGGGAACTCATACGAAAACTTCCCAGTGGGTCTCCCATCATGGGATCGCTCTACTTGCTTAAGTTCGGAGTTCCGATGGAACCCGAAGCCAGTGAGCTCCCAAAAGGCCTCGTGCTAGGTAGAGATGGTGATATACATATAAGACTAACATGATCCACTCCCCTGGGCGATGTGGGATATTACACTTTCTCCTAACTCTTTATAAACAAAAAATCATTTAATAACTTTATTTAATGAAAAGAGCTTAAACTTAATGAAAAAGACTTAAATTTTAATGAAAAGATAAAAGTTATAATTAAAAAGTAAAAAATGAATAAAAACTTACTCGCGAGACCCTGCGCGTCCATCACACTCATTCTCTCCCCTCTATATCACTATTTCTTAAACTGAACATTGATTATTTCTGAAACTGAATGTGGATATTGCACTAATTTTTAAACCGACTATTTCTGAAACTGATCAAGGGTACTATTTTTTAAACTAGACATGGATTAGCATGCGCCTTGCACGGGCTTTTGGTTCTATGTTTTTTTTTTTTTTAACCCTTTGTATCTTCACATAATTTCTAAAATTTTAAATTTACTACTAAATATCAATTAAAATAATTTAAGGCAGTATAGTAATCATCCTAGTTTTCATTTGGAGTCATGGTACATTTCACTTCTTTACTTTCCCTTGTGTTTACTAACACATATGGAATCACAAAAAGTGTGAAGTTCCCCTTAAAATTGGTAATCAAACACCTAGAAATCAGGAATCAGATCAACCAGCTCCTAGTTGATTTGATTATATTTCCTTACTTTTCATATTATCTAGTACTATCGTTGTTAAGTAAACATGGAATCAATACTCCTACTATAATTCTAAAAAAATTATTTAACAACTTCAATGAGAATTTGGATTCTAATTCTCCTTAATCCAATTCCTCCAATTCTAAGTACAGATTAGTAAACAAACTATAATTTTCTAAAAACCTAAAACACAAATTTGAAGGCTTAGACAACATTGTTTGCTAAAAGCGTTTGTACGTGTCAAACTCACCATCTACATAAATAGAACATAAGGTCTCTCATTTTTAGCAAAAATGATTACCAATAAACTATAGTACTGTCTAAATGTTTATCATAGCTTGTTTTTAATTAACACACTTTGGAGTCATATTCATTTGGAATTTTATTTTAACAGTTTCTAGAGTTTACTTCTTTTTTTCTTTTTTTATTTTCAAAGTTTCTATAGTTTACCAAATTTTAAGACTTAGAAGTTTAAGGGCTAAAGTGAAGCAATTCAAAATTCAGATTGACTCTCCAGTTTTGGAAGTTGAAAATTATACCCACAAAAATATGTAGCTCCGTTCTATCTATAGGCTTGTGTGTGTGTATATAAGCAGCGTTCTATTAAGAAATAGTATCAAAAAAAAAAATATATATATATATATATTTGAGTTAATGGGTGATTGTTCATCCATTTAACAAGTCCACATGGGCAATGTGAGAAGACTACAAAAATATGTAGCTCCGTTCTATCTATAGGCTTGTGTGTGTGTATATAAGCAGCGTTCTATTAAGAAATAGTATCAAAATATATATATATATATATATATATTTGAGTTAATGGGTGATTGTTCATGCATTTAACAAGTCCACATGGGCAATGTGAGAAGACTACAAAAATATGTAGCTCCGTTCTATCTATAGGCTTGTGTGTGTGTATATAAGCAGCGTTCTATTAAGAAATAGTATCAAAATATATATATATATATATATATATATATATATTTGAGTTAATGGTTGATTGTTCATCCATTTAACAAGTCCACATGGGCAATGTGAGAAGACTTGTGTGTGTATAAACGATGATTATCGGTATACATGCTTACTCATAAAATTTAAATAAATGATTATAAATATTAATTGCGGTTACAAATGAATATTTGTTTACCTGTTTATTTTAATATATGCATGTGTGTGTGTATATCTGCCAAATGACTAGGGGTGGAAAAAAATTCCGAAAATCCCGATCCCAAACCAAAAATTTCCCAAACCGAAATTCCCGAAATTTTCGGGATGCTATCCCAAACCGATCCCAAAATTTCGGTATGGAATTCGGGATTGGCTTCTCGATATTTCGGGAATCCCATACCGAACCGAAAATATATAATATTAATTATTATATATATATATTTATACATATATATATATATTATTCTTTTATAATTGATGCTAGTAGTTTCTAATTCATGGCTCTACAACCTGGAATGCCCTACACCTTGCATATTTTTCTTGTTCTGTTTGATATTCATGTGGATTTTATTATTGCTGCTGCCATGGCTGATGATTTCAGAAGGCTTGATTCTTTTGTCTCTTAACAGATTGCAAAAAGGGTTTAATTAATTTGAATTTTGACTATAATAAAAACAGGCAGGCATGCCAGTGTTCAATTAAATGGTAGTGTGAATGAAATGAAATTCCTAGTTCATGAATGTGTTCTTGAATTATATATTTGAAGAACAATTCATAATTTCATATTTCAATTTGGGATTCCCGATTTGTCCCAAAATCCCGAAAATATTTCGGGATTCCCGAAATTTGGGATTCCCGAAAATTTGGTTTGGGATTGGTCTTCAAATTTCCGTCCCGAAAAATTTTAGTTTGGGATTCGGGATATTAGTTTCGGTATGGTATCCCATACCGAGGTATCCCAT